GCAAATCGAAGTCGCTCTGCAGGTGTTGGCGAGCCTCTGAACGTTGGCTTCTTTGCCTTGCGGCCGGATTCTCGCTGCTCGGACGAGAGAGTTGGAATGGAACACGGAGAGCCGGTCTGTGCCTGGACTGTTAACGGCGAAATCCCTGCATACTGAACACCAGTCACAAGGTCCTGCAACCAGAAGAAGGGAAGGGCCCATCTCAGAGTCTTTAGGTTTTTAGGACGTTTTTGGAACTAGGAACCTTAGTTTCCGACACACTTTAAACAACGAAGGGAAACTAGGTAATTCTTGTCATCTTTTTCGTGTTGATCTGTTTTTTCTATAGTGATTGGTGTCTTTTGTGTCTGCCTGTGCCACAATCGTACAACTGGTGGTACTAGTAGTAGTAGTAGTAGTAGTAGTAGTAGTAGTAGTAGTAGTAGTAGTAGTAGTAGCAGTAGCAGTAGCAGTAGCAGTAGCAGTAACAGTAGCAGTAGCAGTAGCAGCAGCAGTAGTAGCAGTAGTAGCAGTAGTAGCAGTAGTAGTAGTCGTAGTAGTCGTAGTAGTCGTAGTAGTCGTAGTCGTAGTCGTCGTAGTCGTAGTCGTAGTCGTAGTCGTAGTCGTAGTCGTAGTCGTAGTAGTAGTAGTAGTAGTAGTAGTAGTAGTAGTAGTAGTAGTAGTAGTAGTAGTAGTAGTAGTAGTAGTAGTAGGTGGTAGTAGTAGTAGTACGACGACGACGACTACTACTACTATCTGATACTAGTAAGTCCTGACCCGAAATCCTAAACCCTGCGATCGCCGAAAGCCCAGCCTGTGGGCCCATGCCATAGTTTTCATAGTTTGCTTTACGATTGCTCCTAGAGCTATTGAGTCTGGGCTTTGGGGTTGAGGGTTTAGGGTTGGACTTTTTTGGGATGAGGGCTTTGTGCTTCGGGTTTGCGGTGTAGCGTTTAGGGGTTTAGGGTTGAGGGTTAGCAATTTAGGGTTGACGGTTGGATTGCGCCTTTAGGGTTTGGGCGGGTTTGGGGTTTGGGGTTTAAGTTTGGGGTTTTGGGGTTTAGGATTGGGGTTTGGTGGAGTTTGCGGTTCAGAGTTGAGGATTTGTCGTGGAGGCTTTAGGGTTTGTTCTTTTTTTGGGGATTTGGGTTTGGGGTCGAGGGTTTTGGGGCATTAGGCATCTTGAGGCTTAAGGTTGGATTAGGGCTTCAGGGTTTGGGCCCCGAACTTTGGGGGTTTGGGCTTTGGGTTTTGAGGGTTTGGATTTGGGGCTCAGCAGGTTTTAGGGTTTAGGATTTGGCGTTGATGGTTTAGGGATGGGTTGTTTTGGGATTAAGGATTTTGTGGTTCGGGTTTGGGTGCAGGGTTTAGGGTTTGGGGTGAGGGTTTTAGGGTTTAGGCTCTATGGCCGAATGAGCCCTAAGCCAGACGGGCTCCGCACCCTTCCTTTCGCGAGCGCGCATGCGCATATTCAGCACTACCCAAGCCCAAACCGTAAACTCGGCCCACTCAGCCCCCCAACCCCAAAAGGAGACGCGGTAAGTGTAGGCCTGCCCAAAAACGGGGAAAAAGACACAGATCAACAAAACGGAAAAGATACAGGTTAACAAATTCCACGTGGTCTTGACCAAGAAAGAGGCGAGAAGATGTACATGAAGAGGAAAATGCAGGCGCAGCAAGAGGAATGCACGGCAATAGATAGGTCAGGTATCAACAGGAAAACAAAGACACAGATCAACACAGCGGAAGACGCAGGCCAGCACAACAAAAGACAAAAGTAGCATTCGCTCCAACAACGAAGGCCTCCTCTCTGCTGCGCTTGCCTTGGCCGAAGCTGGCTTCGACAAGCAGACCTCCGAGCTGATAAGTGTTGGGAGCGGGGCAACTATGTGGGGTTCAGAGGACTTTCCGAAGCACCTTTCTTGTGTTCCGGCGTAGTAGCCTTCAGGTTTGGGTGGATCCAGGGATTGCGCAGCTGTGTGGGCTTTGACCTGAACGGGGCCTTTTGACTCCAGCGCTTCAATTGGAGCATCTGTAGGTCGCAAAGTGTCGTTTCCTTCTAATAGGCGCAGATGCATCAGATGTGCACTTGGGGTCGAGTGGTTCAGCGTGCTTGGCTTCGGCTTCAAGTTGTTCTGAAGTGGCCTTGAAGCTCGACATGGCCCCTTAAGGCCCCAAGTCCCGAGATAGCCAAAGCTCTGGCCTTCGGGGCATTTGAGTTTCGTCTGATCAAGGACATGCTGGGCAAACATGGGATGGGCACCTCGATTCTCGGCCATCCACGTCCGCTTCTGTTGGCAAGGTTGCTATAAGTCTATAAGTGTACCACCGTATGTATGGGCAGCAAATGCAGACATCTACATATATTATACCGAGTTGTAAGACGAGCATATGTATGTATGTATATATATTTATATATATATGTATTTGTACGTATTTTTAGATAGATAATATGTATACTAGTAATATAGATCTGTAGATCGTAGTACATGCACATGTCGTCTTGTCTTTCGATTTTCTCTCATGTTTGGACGTCTCTGAAGCGTTTCTATTTTTGCATACTGCCTGCTGGTCTATTCTGTTCTGGCATTACATTCCAAAGTTCATTCCATCATTGTTTCAATGCTGTCAGTACCATGATACCAGTGTCATTATAATCTTGTTGGTACTATTGGTTTAAACAGTTATGATGTAGCGTTTGTGGCGTCTGTGATTCCCAAGAGCGATATGCAGTGCTAGCTTGTGACCAGAAGCGGTGTTCTGTATAGCAACAAGTATGCAGCAAGATGCAACCCTTCATCAAGCTGGTCTGGTAGCAGCATCTGCTGCGGTAACCGCAATTTCCAATCTTGCCAAGATTGCATCTAAGTGCGCAGAATATCATTTCAAAGCGCAGCTGCGGTTCTGAGACACTGATATGCGGCGTCTGAGTAGTCTTCGCAACACTCCGTGCTCGCGGAGTGGTGCCGCCTAAGGCAGCAATTGCATCATCATCCGCACTTGAAGCTGGAGTTGTGCAGTTCAGGTGACTATGCCTATGTCGGTGGCGAGTGCGGGCAAGGCTTTATGCACCCCGGACTTGTTACAGCAACTAGCTTCAACCAGGGATCGCAGCTTCGATCATAAGCCTGAGCCACTCATCCCTGGAGCTCAGTGCAATGCAGCCCATGTGAATCACGCAACCCGAAACTGTTGAAGCACGCCACGGTTGTAAGCCCCGAGAAATTCCAGGTACACGCTCTTTTACCGCAGCGGTGGGATGGTTGACAAGGTCTTGAGCAACGCTGGTGTCGTTGTGGACTCCGCCCAACTTGACCGATGTGCCCGTGCTGGGCGCGGGGGGGGGTGTCAGCTGTCGCATGTTTTCTCGACATGGTAGATCCCCAGTTTCGGGTAGAAGCGCTGTGGGGCTCTCACGTGTTGCGATTTCCACAAGCTGTGGGATACATGTCCTCACATCCAGAGCTGAAGAGGGCCCGTCAGCCGTCAGCTCTCGAATCCGCAACCCTACAACCCTATATAGTTAGACTGCCCTAAACCGCTAGATCCAATTATGCACACAACGCAGGCAATGAATCTAGGTCCTGCTCTCCGCGAGGTATGTGGAATTACCAGACGCACAATGACTGCACGAAGCCTTTCGACTGCAACCGCATCCGGGTCCACCACAAGCCTGCGCACTTGACCGAGTTCCAGGAGGGTAGCTGGGATTTCTGCATGCTTAGAGGTGGTCGAAGGGTTTGTCAAGCTTTTGCGCAGATCTTGCAACAGGTCCTCATCAACAAGGTCGATCTAAATTGTCAACACTTTGCTGGCGGTATCGATCCCGTCCTGCTAGGTCCATGCAGATGGTTCCACGAGGTTTTCAGAGCCTCATTCGTTCATATGTGAGTATGTGTATGGCCGCTCAGGGTTTAACTCGTGAAACGGATCTTGGGCTTGTGTGGAAGCTAGTTTGGTTGCAGGCAAGGATGTGGGTACATCTTGAACTATGTCGGGCTTGGGTTTTTGTTGCGAGGGGTGAGGTGCAGGGGTCGCGGGCAACATGTAGTAGGATGTCGTAGGTTTGATCGAAGTAGAGAGCCAATCCGCGTGTTCTGCACAGGAGTGTCAGAAGATGGAATTCCACAAGTTGCTTTCCGTCAAGAATAAGATCGCTTGAGGCTGCCACCTTGCACGCGTTGGTGTGACAATTTGCGCTGCTCTGATTCGAGGCCGAACATATGTAGAGCAGAAGACCTCCCATCGACCTCCAGGAGGCTTTCGTTGTGAATCGAATGCTTCAAGGGCCCACGAAGTCCAAAGAATGTGCCGTCCGGTTGCAATCGAATCAGCCCAGAGCGCACCGATGCTGAGGGCCTCAGCTGCATGACTCCTTGGAACCAGCCGGAAACTGGAAATGCCCGGGCGATCAAGCGAAAGGAAGTGTGACGCGCGAGGGCCTCGAGAGGGGGGATTGATCAAGTGCTCCTAACAAGTTGCTGATGCATTTCCTTCCTTCAAACCCCAAACTCACGTGAAGCCCGGCAATGCCCGTGCAGCACCTCAGATCCTCGGACATCCAAGGCTTCAACAAAAACGTGTTCATTCGGGAAATGAACTACAAATTGCTACACTGTTGAATGGCACACTCAAGCCACACGCAAGAGCGTTTTGGCCAAGATCGCACTAACAGCTACGCGTTTCATCCACAAGTGGGACTCGTTCAGGCTAGCGATTTGTAGCCGAAAACTTCTGATGGCAACACACCTCACAAGCACATGAGCGCATGTGAAGCGTTAAGACACTCAGTGACATGCATGATTTTTATGCGCACAACAATCATGCATGTCACTGGGAATCGGAGATTCACTAGGAGTTTGAGGGGTCTCGGACTTTTTGCTTTTGGCGTGGGGCTACTGTCGCCCCGTAAACCCAGAAGCCCGATGCTTCAGGCACCACGGCTACTAGTACCCAGACACCGAGCTTCGAAGCCCCAAAAGAGATCAGACAAAATCAGACGAACCCTTCTCCGACTGGAGGACCTGGGAGCCCTTGCTTGAGAAGGTTGCACCGGACCGTCGAGAATTCCCAGGCAGGGATCTTTCGCGCAAGGGGAAGGCAAACAAGCTGGATCTCGACACTGGCACTGCAGGGTCAGATTTCGCCCAGCGAATCTAGGAATCTAGATTTCAGTCGCAACTGGAGGGGTCCCACAAGTACAAGGGCTTCAGCCTGAACTGAAAGAGTGCGGGTGGGCGGGTGGGTGGGTGGGTGGGCCTCGGAACCGGCCTTGAAGGCCACATTCTGTGCAGTGATACGAATCTGCCAGCCCGACATAGGCACCCAAAACCGGCCGTGCACAGCAAGCTCACGTCGTTCCCAGAAGCGTGCATGCCATGCATGCCATGCGCTTAAGAAAGACATTTCAAACACAGTGGCAGAGCACCGTGTGTCCTTTTGAATTCTTTTGCTGTGAATTTCTGGAGGCCCGGAGCTCCTGGGTGAGCATTACGCGGCGGTGCGCACTGCTTTGGCGTCTGGTTTAGTACTCGGCCACTTGTCAACTTGCCATCATGGACCCGTGTTGCTTTGTAGTTCATCTTTGCTGGCTGCTTTTTGCGCAATCATGTTTCGCTGTGCCTTGCGGTTGCAGGCTTAGCGGTTTAAAGGAATGACAGAGATGGTTGGACGGATTTGGACGGTGAACATAGCAGTCCCGGTTTCAATTGCCCAAAGCTCCACCAAGACATGTTAACCGTAGATGATAGCCGAGCTGCGGGAAGCTTGCAAGATCTTGCAAGCCTTCGGGTCGCAGGGCTTTCCAGGCATGGCAAGAGGCCCTTGAATGGCTTGGTATGTCAATGACTTGTGAGCATGGAGGTTCGTCAAACCAAGGAACCTCGATGACAGCGTAGAACAGGTCCTGCACTAAGAATCCAAAGAACGTCCGAAGAGGTAACCCAGGATCGTGATCGTTAAGTACATCTGGCAGAGATTCGATGTTCCTAATCAGAGACTAGAAAGTCGTCAAGCCTTGCGTCGCGACAGACGACACCACCTACCAGACATGTGTAAGTCAGTTTGGCTGGAGGTGTCAGCGCAGCTGCCCTTGTCGCAAGATCGCTGCAGTGAGATGAGGGATGCATGCCGAAGGATGAGGCTAACGAGCAGTTCCTCCACTGCCGCACAGCCAGCAACCCGAAGCCAAGCCACCAGCGCCACACCTTGAACCGCCGACAGAAGCTCCCCAAACCGGGCAGCCGACGTCGCGGAGAAGGCGAAAGGAATCGGTTGAAAAGAAGAGCTTGGTGGCGGAATTGAATAAGTTGGGATTCTTGCCGAGAGTGTCCGACGGCACACGTTGGGCTCCTTCCACGCCCCCCACTGTTGACTTCGTGTGTGTTTTTGGAGAATGTCCATTTGGAAGGAATTGCAAGTCTGAAGATCTCTCTTCTCAGGTTCGATATTTCCTTCGAGGAGTCCGTCCTGTGAGCAATCAGTGAGCCGTGCTCAGACTTCTCCCAAACAAAACCGAACGCTGTGAGTGAGGCCGTTCGGCTAAGACATCGGATCCACGAGCTCCGCGTGCTGCCAGGGACTCAACAAACTTGTGTCGCAAGAGAGAGAGAGAGAGAGAGAGAGAGAGAGAGAGAGAGAGAGAGTGACCGAGGCTGAGGATAGAGCGGCGTTCTCTTCTCGCGCAAGATAGTTTCAGTCGGTGAGAAAGCTGCATGTTGAAATGGACCATGCTTTGGGAGAACCGTGTAAAGGAGCAGAAGGCCTAAGAGGTTGAACAGTTTTTCGTTGTTGAGGGTGTCGTGATTTGGGGGCACACGCTTGGGGTGCACAGGCTTTGCAGTTGAAGGTTAGTGGGAGGGTTTAGCGGTTTCAGGGTTGGAGGGTGCAGGCTCAGGACAAGGCTGCAAGATTTAAGAAGTTCGGACGCTCTTCAAGGTTGCGAGTTGTCTCTTGGGACGGGCTCGACGCCCGACTAAAGCCTCGGGGGCGCCCTCCTTTGGGATCCACGCGCGCTGCTGCCCGGGTTGCTCCATGTCGTGCTGCGGATTTTCGCATCAATCAGATTTGCAAATATCGGATTTGGTCAGAGTTGATGGCGCTGAGCTCGTGAAGGCCCATGTGTGTATCATCGCGCCAGTATCCTAAGCCCCGACATGTGTTCATCTGCCTTACAAGATGTCTTGCAAAGGTGGGCATGGTTTCTCTCCAGCAAGCTCCGGATCTGGGTTGACACTCGTCCGGCTTCAATAGGGTCTGTCGTTCAACGACTTTGGCCAAGACTCTTGTGTACGTCGATCTTTTGGTGAAGGAGTTCAGGGGCGAGGGTTACCCGTGTCCGCCGGTCTCCTATTCAGCTCGACCCGGCCCCAGATTGTAAATCCTGATGTTCAGACAACGAATTGGCCGTGTTTGTGACTACGACGCAACATCACATGTAAAACAGATGTATGTAGCTATGTATGTATGCATGCATGCATGCATGCATGCATGCATATGTGCAATATCTTTCTATATATATATATATTCACACATATACACACATACTTGTATACGCATGTATGCATATATAATAAATACACATGTACATATATATATATATATATATATATATATATACACACATACATATGTGCGTATACGTATACATATACATATACCCAATATAATATATGTATATACATATATATATATATATATGTATATGTGTATTATGCGTATAAACATATATACATATATATGTATACAGCTCTCTCTCTCTATATATATATACACACACATAATACGAGGTGCAGCAGTGTGCGACTGTGGGATGGCTAGCTGCAATGTCCAGGGCAGGCGTGCTTTCAGCAGAGATGATGGGTCGGCGGTGCAGTCAGCTAATGCAGTCACCGAGGAAGACCTTCGCATCGTCGAGAACCGCTTTATGTATTTCCTGGCTCTTTAGTTGCCTTCTCCTGCTCGTTCCCTGTTTATGTATTCCAGCTTCTCGTGAACATCGTGGGCCCTAAACCTCGAACTACTGTACTGCACCATATTCCCAGGCCGCGAAGCAAGGCAGTACTAGGAAATGCAATGCAATTGCAATATGTGAGCAAAGAGTTGCAGTGTAAAGTATGTAGCGGCAGCGGTTCAAAGCTAGAGGCGCCAGAGCCCGCCGCCCACGAAGCCCAAACCATCAAGACTGAGTGCAGCAATGGTCGCAGCAAGCTAACAGCAGTGGTGCCCGTCAAAAGTGCAAACTCCATCGTCCGAGGAGAAGTATGGCACTTCCATGGGGCCGTTTCTCAACCAAGACTTGAATGCCTATGTGGTGAAGCAGCTGCAGGCACCCGCCAGCCCGACCCCCGAAACGTGACTCGACTCGAACGCCCTGAAGCCTCTAGGGCTTTCAGCTACAGAATCTGGTTCCCGGCCTGACAGCTAAAGCTCCTGACCTGCGCCGCCTGTGTGTTCAAGCTTCCCAACTCCAGAGCCTATAGGAGAGCGCGAACCTCAAACCAGCTCGCCGAGTCCGCATGCCACAAGCATACAAAAGCCTTGCAGGACGTACCTTCTCTGCTGCTGCCTCAGGGTCTGGAGTCTAGAGCCTTGTGTTTGAGAGGATGAGGAGGCATGCTTCTGAAAACTATTGGGCGTAGTTTCGTGGGTTGGGAGTGTCATTTAGGGTTTTCGGACCTCACACTTAAGAATGTCATTTTCTGTGCAAGTGTTGGAGTTGTCTGGCTGTCGTGCAGTGCTTGCACGAGCTGGGCCGGAACCTGTTTCCCAAACATACACAGTGTGTATGTATGTATAGATGTTATATTACATTATATTATATATTATATGTATAAGTATATGCACACATTTATATATATATATATATATATATATATATATATATGTTATGCGTATGTGCATGTATATGTTCGTATATGCATATATGCATGTTTCAACCTTCACCTTCTCTGTTTTCTTTGTTGTGGGGACTCGGCCTAGCATCTGTGATCTCAACGAGGGGTTCCCTCAAGGAGTTCAATCGCTCTGTTTGGACGTGGATGCATTAGAGATGTGTCCAGTTTTTTGCTAAACTTCGAGTGTCGTCACCTGTGGTTGAAGCGCGGTTTGGCGCTGAAGCCATTTTCTCGGCACCGTGGTGTGCGGTGTTTGGGGTTCAGGTTTCGGGTTAATGATCGAGCTGATGGCAATTGACCCTTCTCGTTAAGAAGCACGGCATATTCCGCCGACCTGATACGGCAGCCACCTAAGATGCTTTCGTCAATCCGTAGTGAAGCTGTCGGTGGCCCGAAAGTTCGACAAATCCTCAGTTTTTTTGCAAAGCTCTAAGTCTTTGCGTGCGTCTAAGTCCTCCAGACTTATAGCCTCCGGAGAACAGCGACCGCACGTCCAAGACGTAGAGCCTCAATGCAGCAATTGAACATGTCTCCGAACATGAGCAAGCCCATGGGCTCGAGACACGACACAATTGTTGACCGCGATCAATCTGAGAACTTCAACCTAAGACCAAAAACCCAACCGCGCCCACACCTCGATCCCGATCCAAGCAGGTGTGCAAACGCGCACACGCACACACGCACACACCCACATCCACCTCTACAGTGACAACTACACCTACACCTGCCTCTATCTGAGACGTTCTTCAATCCTCGGATCGACGCGGCCAGGAGGCCAAGGTCGCCGAAAAGCACCGTCGTGGTGCAGTCGCTCAGCCGCCCTCAGCCCCTCTGCTGCTGTTGGAACAAAACAAAGCCATGCGATGGGGGGCATTATGGCATTAGTACAGGCAGGAGCACCCGCACAATCATCGGGATGACAACACTTTGCAAAAGCGGGGGAGCAAAGATGCACAGCACGCCTCAGCAGTAGGCACGACGACGTGCGATTATGGCGTGAGTGTAACATTGGTTTTTCGAAGCGCGATCCGAGGAGCCCGGAGAACGTCCAAGTCTTCACGTCGCATATTGAGCCTGTGGACATCCCGGAGGTCTGGATTTGACTGTCATGCCCTGTGTTGCGGTTTTCTCCGGATGTCCATTAGAACGTGTAGCCATGTTTGACAGCCTGATGACATTTGCAGCTTCCGCCGAGAGTTTTTTTTGGTGCCTCTGGATGAGATCGGCCTGACCTTGCAGGCAAAGCACTCCGAGATGCCCGAGGACGATGCAACCGGTCGGCTGGGTTTGTGATTTATGCACATGCTTTGCAGAGTTGAGCTGAGTTGTCATTAGGGCATCTGAAGTGCTTTGCAACCGGTAGTCTTGGTAGTGTTCTGACCGCTGTTATGATTTCATGTACTGATTCGGTTGCCTTGCATCCAGTTCGGGGTTCGATAGCCGTTGGTGTTACTTGAAAGGGTACGCATTTGGCACCAGTTTTTTGGGATCAGGTACCACAGGCTGATGGTTGCGAGGCCTTCTTTGATGTTGCTATTGGGCAGGGGCGGGAGCTTAGTTTTTCCAGAGGTAACCCCAAAGCTGATGCAGTAAAAGGTAGCCTGACGTGTGGGCCCGATTGTCGGACCTGTGGTTGCCGATGGAATCCAGCCGGGTTATCGGAAAGCAAAGCGCAGCCGTCCCGAAACAGCTTTGCCCGTCTTTTATCGACACCCGCAAGCACCTCAAACCTCAGGAGTCCACCGCCGCTGCTGCTGCAGCGGCGGCAAGCTGGTACAGGGCATCTGGGCAGGTGCGAGAGAAGTAGTTCCGGATTCGACACGCAGTGTCTCGTACCTCACTATATGCTTCAGTTTGATGCTGGGGTTCCATGTTTCGGTCATTTCGGCTTCTGCGTCCAAGGTCGGCAGGCTTATTTAATCTTTGTCATCCCTCTTGAATCATTGTGTTTCGGGCATATGCTCGGCATGCTGCCACACCGCGGCGACGCGGAGATACGAAAGTAAACGGCCCGCGAAGAAGCATCGCCGCGCCAGCCTCAACTCGTAAGGCACTATGATCACGCCAATTCAGTAGCCCGCATGTAGCCGTCGTCTTCTCGACGTGCCGGGTGCTTGGATAGCGGCTCATGTGAACATGCCCATGTAGCCTTGAACTTGTTCTCTTCCCGTGCTGCTGTCAAGAAATCTGCACCAGGCATTTTGCAGTGCTCCCAGGGTC